GCCTGCGTGGGTTTTCTCCGGGTACTCCGGTTTCCTCCCACATTCCAAAAACATGCATGATGGAACACTCTAAATTGTCCCTAGGTGTGAGCGTGAGTCTCTCTGTGTGCCCTGCGATTGGCTGACAACCGGCTCAGGGTGTCCCCGCCTACTGCCCGAAGATGGCTGGAATAGGCTCCAGCACCCCCCGTGACCATTGTAAGGATAAGCGGATCGGAAAATGAAGAAATGAATTCCATTCCATGGCTTGTAAAAAAAGTGCCTTTGCACTTATAAAATGTACAGTACTCTGCTAATTATAACCTCACTTTTTTTTGTGCGAGAATAAGATCTTGTCCCCCCCCCTCTCTCTCTCTCTCTTACACTGTATTATAATGTTGCTGTGAGACGTTAGCAAGATGTCTGTAGTTGTTGGGGGGAGGGGCTGTTGCACGAGGCATATGATAACTGTCTGTTCATGTGTGCGCATATGACTCGGCTTAAGGATTTCTCGGCAAACACCTCCTAGAATAAGCCATCCGATTTTATTTGAACTGTCTCTGTGCATGCCAATTTTGGTTAAATTGTCGGTGTCATTGTCAAACAGCTTGTCCTGTCTGGTCTATGTAAGGGTTTTCTTTTTTTTTCTGGACAAAATGGTTTCAATTTTCAATTTGATGGGAATTTTACATCACGCGCTTGCTCAAATATGTGGGGAAATGCATGCTCAATTAATATTTGAACGTTCCGTGCAGACCGAGGCATGCTCTTACCTGAACTTGCACCGGTTGATGTCATGTTGTTGGTTAGACCAGTGATTCTCAGCTGGTGGGTCCCGAAAAGTGAATCGCCGAGCTATGTTGGATGGTCACAGAGAGGTCGTTAAAACTTCTAGCGGCGTCCTTAGTTTAACAAGACAAACTACTGATGTTGTAATTTCCCAAAAAGAAGAGATCAATGTCAAGGAGTTCATTTTTGTAAATACTGCTGTCATGCTAATCCCCAGCTTCTTAACAAGGTGCTCTGGAAGGCACTTTTAACCTGTACGTAACCTCGAAGCTGTGAGACAAACCACTTGGTCACTGTGCTGCCCCAATTAACAATGAATTCCACACAATTTATGCCAATTTTTAAAGATGAATTACCGGTAATCAATTCACTGTGCCAACCATTGACTACCCGACAGCAATAGTAAAAAAGAAAGGCTGTCAAAACAATTTCTATTCATATGATGTTCAAATATGATGCTAATTTGCAGTCTGTACAAGTTGGTGATGGCGCTTTACGATACTCTGCCAAAATAGAAGCCTTTGTTTCAAAAAGCTTGGTGACCCCTGAGGTATCGGAGTGACCAAAGTGATTTTCGTGATTTGATTTTTAGTGAGGGCAGCACGGTGGTCGACTGGTTAGCGCGTCAGCCTCACAGTGCAGAGGTGCAGGGTTCAATTCCGGCTCCTGCCTTCCATCTTGCCGCACCTGTGCACCGCGCTCCATTTCTTCCCGCCTGCACACCTGACTCCAATTCATTGGTCACGTCGGCCAATCCGAGCCAACCTTCTTCTTCTACCGCTGCTTGTTCGACGGTGTTTTGCACACGAGCGCCACCCGTTGACCCGCCAGGGTGACTGCTTTGGCTTACCCCGGAAATTGCTCGACTTTCGGCCGCAAAGTGATTAACGTGGCGTAAAATACGACTTCTTTCTCACCTTCGACAGCCTCCGCTCATCCCGTCCGCCCGCTGCGCCGCACCGCCCTTCCGCAAGATCATGGAAAACTCCAACAACGTGACTTTCTCTCGTGATGGGTCCATGGGGCGGCATGAAGCGTGTTGACCCAATGATGCACTGCGTGGCTCCTGATTCCTGCTGGACTTTCAACGTCCCTGCAGACAACCCACTTGACAGACTGAACTGACTGATTTGATGACAGTTTCTCCAACATAATTGACATCAATGACTCTTCAAAAATCTTTATTCAGAAAAATACGTTGCTACACTGTTTGGAATTTGAGTCTGTTGCTTTCCTTGCAGGCTATTTCCCCTACTGTGGAGAACACACGCTCACATGGTACTGATGATGCCGGCGTACAGAGGAACTCCTTTGCGAGGTGGGAGAGGTTTGGAAAAGTAGTGTGTTGGTTCCTCCAATAATATTCCCCTCTGCCAGGTACCGCTGGACCTCAGATCTGGCATCTGCTGTTGCGCTTCATCCCAGTCTCCCCATCTCATCATCCAAATGCTGCCGCAGGTCATCTAAAAAATAAAAACCCATGTGTGCCTGTCGCATCTCCGGTTGAATCAAAGGGGGGGGGGGGGTCTCTCACTGATGGTCCGCAACATTTGAATAAGCAGACACTGTGTGAACACGCCCTAAGAGCTACAAGACAAACTAAACATGAAATACGATTACTAGCTCCGACGGTATGTTTTGCACATCTTTTCAACCTTGCTCTTTGCCTTTGTGCATCCCATGAAATAACACGAACCATTGAGAAAATACAGAATGATCGCAAACAATACTAAACCTTCTGCTCTTGCATTGCTAAGGATTTCTCAAGGTGCATTCGCACCCTCTGGTGGATGAAAACCAAGCAACTTTACAAAGAAGCAAATCACAAAACAAAGTGAAATAAAGCGAAATTCATTCCACAATCAAACATTACATGCGAACCTCGTTCCCAGCTCAACCAGGCGCAAAGGAATCGTTCACTGTTTTACGGTACTTACCGCTTTCAGTTTTGTCCGTTTTTACCCTCGAGCACCTTTCTTCTCTGTCCATCGGAATTGTGCGACAATTATTTTCCTCCACCCTTCAAAATAAAAGTGATAGTGGCAAGTCAAAACATGAACCAAAACCAAAAATTATGACACGATTATTTCTAATATCAAATATGAACATTAAACGTAATTTGCAACCCTGCACTTGTGTAAATCCGAAGTTATTGGCGGAGCTTTACAAAGACGAGCGATCAGGGTCATACGAGGCATTTGCAGTCCATCATACGCAACTCAACCTAAGTGGTCATTTTTCCCCCCTCAGTTGGCTGAACCACTGCACAGTACTGGACTGTCGTCGTTTTTACGAGGGTCTCGATCTCGACTTACGTCGCGAGGTTCCAAACGGCGCACAATGAAGTGACATTGCCTCGATGGTCACGTGGGACCAGGAAGTGCAGTGACCGTCGTATTAACTGTTTTCATTTCATTGTTTCACATCTCCGATGCACCCTTATTCTAAATATCCACCGGAATTATGATTTCAATACTCGCTTCGGCATACGTATTTTGATTTGGGTTACGTGGCCAACCCAGGAAGGGCATTCCATCGTCACGTCACCCGAGGACCCATCGAATGAAAAGTCATGTAGTAAATACATGCGGCCACAAGAGAGCAGCATCATGTCATGTAGCTCAAGAATTTCTTTTTTTCTCGCGCGTACAAAGAACCAAATAAATACACGTTGAACCAATTACATAATGACATTGACACAAGTGAGTGAATTTCAGTCCTCCATCATCCTGGTTCATGGAGGGTTATCATGAAATGGAACATTGTTGGGTTTTTTTTTAGGTTGCTTTCCAGGGGTTCGGCATGAATGGTGTGATTAGAAACACAAGAAATATGTTCTACTTCCTCTCCTCATAAATTCTCCCAACCTTATTCAGCATTGAAACAAAGCCAAGATGGTCGCAGAGCTCTTAAATATCACACGGCATGTGAGAATAAACGGCAATCAAACCTGTGAAAACAAGGCCCAAAACGTAGACTACTGTTTACATTATTGTTCGTGTGGGCAAATTTCGCTGCTGCACTTGGTTACAAACGAACCGCGGCTGCCTCTTCCATTTGCCCTGAGTAAAAGTCATTGTGACAACATTTCTAGTTGTCCTCGGATTCCGCATCCTTGTCAGACGATGCCAGGCATTTGTCAAGCTCGGCAATTTCTTGCGCAGCCTCAATAAGGCCAATAAGACTTGGGTCAAACCGACCCCAGAGTAGCGGGTCGCTCTATTTTATGCATTCATTTTTTTTTTTTTTCACCAAGAGCGGGTTATTTTTGAGCCGGCAGTTTTAAGAGTGTATATTTGGTTACACGGGATGATGCCCTCCCTGACACAAGCCACACATTTGACACTCACATTTTCTACACGCTTAACACTGCCGGGTCAAAATTTAGGTTTACATGACAGAAGACCAATTCACAGCTTGGGTCAACCGAACCCCATTTTCTGGGTCATTTTGTATGTGCACAAGCCATTTTTATTTACTTATTTATTTTTTTGGTGTTGGACAAACCAATTCAGAAAGTGATGTCAAATTGACCCAAGCGGCTCAAACGGATGAACGATTCTGAGAGTCCAGAGCCTCGCAAGACTTTGCTCGAGCGCCACCCCAGCCTTCCCTCAGCCCGCCCTCCCCCCCACTTTTTTTGGGGGGAGGGGGGCACCTTTCTTGTGCTCTCAGTCTGACTTGAAAGTGCTTTCGGGTGACGGCAGCCTTCTCGCTTCTCGCTTACAGCGCGGGGTGTGGGTGACTCGAGTGCCACGAGAGCTTCGAATAACAGCGTGCGAGGGGACAAATAAAGGGGAATACGCGACCCACCCGCGACAAGTCTTCCGGCAGCGAAGAGAAGACACGGGAATTAAAGCATGGCTAAGCCGGTCCCCGCAGGTACGCCGATGCGCAAGAGATTTGGTTGCATGTCGGGGAAGTTGGAAACTTCAAATATTGCTGGAAATACGGTTGGATATTGCTGTCATTTTTGTGTATTTATACATTTTTGGGAAATCGGGACAATCATGACATGAACTTCTCATAACCGAGCTGCTATGATAGAAGGAATGAGCGTTTCCTAAACTTGGGCTTAGGTTTTTTTTAAACTGGCTGTCCATCTACTTGAAAATCGATCTGGAACGAGAGGATTTTATTTTGTGCAACCACCTGACAAAATAAAATTGAGTAAAAGCAACACAGCAGGGGTTTTTTTTCAGCTGTTCATGCTATGGAAGCCATAGTTGATCATGTGACCCGTCACAATGACATCATTGGGGTCATTTTGTGCTGTTTCGTAAAGATGATCAAGAACAACTGGAAGTGAATCCAAATGGAAATGTGATTGATTTTTTTTTTTTGTCTCTGATATCGTGACCGAATGGGGTACACAATCGGTGATGCAACAAGGCTTCCTCGGAAAAGTGCCAGTCAGCTGTTGTCACAGTGGCCACCGGACCGGCACTTTGACCCAAAGAGGTTCGAAGTCATTAAATATGAGAAATGGTCACGTGGGATGACTCCAGCTTGACATGCCAAGGTTGCGTTCAAAACTGTTGAGCCCCCCTCCAGCATCCCACATCTAATCCTTCTAACATGCGCTCTACTATGAACACAAGACATTATCACCCACGTACCGACTTTTCGGTCATGTCCATTATAATCGCGTCTGAAATCTAACCGCATGCTTCCGTACCATATGAGGCCAAACGAGTTTTGAATGTAGCCGATTGGACATCTGCACCGCCTGCCGTAACTGAGCCAAGTTCAACTGCCAAGCTGACAAAGGATCAGCCGCCAATCTTTGATTCCCGCGTGACACCACTGGATGTTTGACACGTGCGCTAAATGTGATACTGAACCAAAAGATTAGCTCATTAGCATGAGAATGCCATCATGTTTTTTTTTTTTTTAAATCATCCATCACGCTTCCTCCCTTTTACAGCCAGCTCCGACCCTCAAGGCGCAGCCAAAAGTAATCCCCAGTAAGGCGTGACCTTTTTGTCTTTTTTTTCCCCCTCACCATCACCTTTAGTTGAGAGAATTTCACACGCGCAGAGTATTTAGCAACTGTAACACTTGCGCACTCACGGCGGAGCTCAATCGGGATGTAAAAAGGCATTCTCGGCTCCAAAGGTTCTCAGCGAGCCTTGGATTCATCTCCCTTTCAATAATTGGTCCACTTTGGGGTCATCAATGCATACGTTTGACGTGCGCAAGACATCAAAGCGCGCAGAGGGCGGTTCCACTTTACCAAGTAGAACATACAGGAGCATCGAAATGCTTTCCCCGCTTGCCTGACTGAGCCCGGCGGTGGACGTCAATCTATATTTAGATGATTAAGAAGATCATTTTAAGCGAAATTCATTTTCTCACATTAAGCCCCACAATGTCAAATTACATTAGCGCCTTCGTTTGTTTAGTCCGCAAAGGGTCGCCCGCAGCTGAGCTTTAAATTGGCCGTACTTCAACGCGAGGCACAAATAGAAAGGCAATTAACTCCTATTTAATCATTTCCGCGAACTATCGGCATGTCCCGTTGCACTCAACTGGCCGCGATTACGCTGCAAGTAACGTCGGTTCCGACGCCCGTTAACACCACTTCTATTTTTGCAGATTTGTGCGAATGGTTTTTGGAACAGGAGAATTGCGTAGTTTGAACAAGTGGATGGTGGTTCAGATTTTGATTTCAGAGTGGGGGATTAACAACCCTGCCGCAAAAATGATGAGACTGAAAAACGTTCATTGTTGTTAATTCTTACACGAAGGCCACGGCGTCAGTTGATACCCCGAAGGAGAACATTTTTCCATCCGCGTGACAAGCAGCTGTTTCACCTCAAATAAACATCACGGTCGCCAATGGGAATAGTTGGAATAGACTGATGTCCATTTGCAACCGCAAAGGCTTCAATTGATGCATGAGGTCAAATGTGTGCGGCTATTTAAGTAAAGGCCCCCCCACCTGTCCCCCAAAAAAGTAAGACATGCAGCTCATCTTCAGGAAAGTCATGAGACACCGTTGCTGGCCTTTACGAGCTCCTGCCCCCGACCCCTGGGAGGGAAGTTTGCTATTTCATAGGTTTCCATTTGCAGCTTACTTCAGCTTCGACAGTCAGTCGCGCCCAACGCGGTGAAATGGACTGTAATGCCTTTCATGAATAGCGCCCAAATCCCCAAGTCACGGGACTGCAGCTCACGACGAGCCGTTATATGGTCTCGTGTCACAGGTTAAGGCAATAAAAAAGGTGCACATTTTCTCGAATGTCCGCTGGATTTACGAGCAGATACGATGTCGGAGTTCACTCGAGCGTCGTGTTATTCAAGACAAGAGATGAACATGTGTCACCTTGCGAAAGCGACGTATCCCATCTAGGATCGGATGAGGTCTTCTGGATCGAGCGCAGCAAAACGCCACCAGATCTGCGTTAGCATAAGCAATTACAATATTTGACATTTCAAAAAGTGCGCTTCCTCCGTGGTTGACTTGAATTTTCTAACTTGTGATTTTGCGAACACTCGGGTTCAGTCTTCGAGATTTGTTGTTTTGTTTTTCTCTTGCCATGTGCAGAGGCGTTTTATTTTTTTGTTACTGATTCTTTTTACAGTCCCCACACCGTGCCCCCCCACCCCTTTTTAACCACATGAGAGCATAGTTTGGGAGTTGCTTTTTAAGAATTTAGGGTGCCCTCCAGCAACCTGTCAGATTCCCGTGCCTGTCTCCCCATATTCAATCTCACTGGCTACGTTACTTGCAGTCAATAAGCCTTTCAAAACCGGAATATTGACATGAATCAATGGAGCGCGTTTTATTGACGTTCAAAACTAAGAAGCGGAATTGACATCTAATTGCGTTTTGACGTCGTCCATATGGTGCCTTTAGGTCTGGATATCACAATTGATCGCAGTTAGCACGTGTACGGGAGCAACAATGTGTCTTATAATCCAGAAGCTGATCAGTGGGCTGGTTGGAGATGACTAACAGTCGAAAAGCAACAACTATAAATGTAGTGTAAACAGTGAGCCATTGAATATTGGCCATTTGGCACTTGCAAATTTGTTTGCTGACCTGTTAGCTTTTTTTTTTTTTTTTTTGTGTTCAGGCCAAAGCCATGTCTGATGTAAAAATTCTGGCTTGGTCTCATCTTGAGGCGAGGAGCTTTATTTCATCAGGCCACAGCCTGACGCAAGAGAAAATTTGCTCTGGCGCCATCTTGTGGCATTTATAGGCAATTACAAATCACTTTGGGTGGGAGGAAATGACGGACTTTGGTGATTTGGACCCTATTCAAGTAGCGTGGTTTCAGTGGATACTTGAAAATGAATTGCAGAGCTTTCTTGGGCTAATTGTGCAATATTAGGAAGCATAAACACGGCATTCTAATCACTTGCCGCCGCCTGTGTTTCTCCTCCTGCAGCGACAGTGGAGGTGCAGGGTAAGTCAGCCGCACGCCGCCATTTACCTTCTGACCTTTTGTGTGCGCCTTTCATTATCACCTCGTCACTCGATTATAGCTCGTGCCTTTTCACTTTTACACTTGGGCCGCGTCGGGCCACGCGCCGGCTACGGTCGGTGGCTCTCTGACCGCGTTAATTGACTGCCGCCAGTCTTGTTTATTTGCCAGCTCGTCAGTGTCTTATCCCTTCTATTCGGTGAATCTGTCACACTTCAAATCCATAATAAGAGCCATCATGTGGTAGGAGGGCACAAAAGGTCGGCGACACAAATGGTGCTAAGCCTCGTGTGATACTTGGCGAGACATTGTAGTCATTTCTAGTGTGTGTGTGTGTGTGTGTGTGTGTGTGTGTGTGTTCCTCTTTGAACTCTATTTGTTCAGCTGTTGAAGCCTCTTGACTTGTGATTGTCGCATTGCACGTTGCATTACATTTGCTTTGCAGTGTTCGCTAGGAAAAAAAACAAATCAGCTAATTCGAGAGCCAAATCGGGTGAGGGCCAGTTATTTATTTATTTTCCCCCCCCCTGTAGAACATGAGTGAGCAGTGTTCATATTAGAGATGCACTGCGTGTTCCAAAAAGCATTTGTACTTATGAGTCACGGTAATTATTTGAATAATGCCAACAACATGCGGAGTAAATTACAGAGTGAAGAGGAAGAGGCAAAGGTCAATGATTTCCTTTGCCGCCAATGACAGGCAGAATGCAGTGACGAAGCCACTTTGCTTGCGCATGTTTGCATTTGTTAGCGCGACGGCCGCTTGCACGATTTCAGTTACTATCCCTTTGTGTTGTGTTACCTTCACCTTGCATAGATTACTCCTTTCGGGGTTTTTTTTTTTTTTTTTTTTTTTTTTTTAACGCAACTCAACTCTCAGCTGTATTTTTGGGGTCCTTGAAAACAACCACCGCTGTTTACCAAGTGCTGGAGATGGAGCAAAAAGAATTCATATGACAGCAAACATGAATAATGAAGACAGTAGGAAAGCACGAGAACAGTCCAACAAAAAGTCAAAAGTCAAAGAATAGAAATTAGTTTTAAGACGAGTTTGAAAGATGGGCAGCGAGAGGACTTGCCGAACGTTCGTTCCAAAGACAGGGAGCGGCGACAGAAAAGGCTTGGTCCCCTCGCTTAGTTCTCGGTCCCTCTAATAGTGTCTGGTGGGCAGACCTGAGGCGGCGGGGAGGTGCTTAGGGGCTCAGAGAGGTACGGTGGGGCCAGGCCATTCAAAGATTGGCTCCAGAAATGAAGCCAGTGAAGGGATGCCAGAGTAGGAGTGAGGCGCTCCCTCTGACCCGGACCAGTCAAGAGGCGAGCGGCAGCATTTTGGACGAACTGGAATGGAGGATTGGCTGACTCCATAGTAACTTGCGTTACAGCCATCCAGCCGAGATGTGACAAAGGCATGAATGAGTGTTTCCAAGTGCTCACCGGAGAAAGGGCAGGCTTTCCGGAGACAACGAAAGCACCATCTGTGTGGCGTTTCTTTCTCTGTCACTCTCATGTCACCGTGTGCTGCATTGACTCCTAAAATGTCACACTTGCTCATAGCGCTGCTACCGCTGCAAATTGTTTCTCTCATTTTCTGATCTAAAATCAAAGACCTGGACTTTTTTTGGTTTTGTTTCAGAGGTGACAGAGCTCACCGGGCTCTTCTTGGAGAAGCCGCCAAATCATGTGACCACTGTCACAGGTTAGGCCTGCAAACGGATGCGTAGAACTCACTGCGGTAGTGCGCTCGTTCACATCCTGACACTCCTGACTGCTGTTTGTCGACGACAGGCAAGGATTTGATCCTCATCGCAAAGGTCGACTCAAGCGCCTTGGTAAAGAAACCCACCATGAAATGGATGAAGGGAAAGTGGCTGGACTTGAGCAGCAAGGCTGGCGCACATATGCAGTTCAAAGAGACCTATGACAGGAATACAAAGGTGTGTCAGAAACTCGAAACTGGGAATCGGTTTGGTTGCATCCGCACCAAAGCGTGCCGATCGAGCCTTCCCATCCTCTTCTTCATCTGAAAAGATCTACACTTACGAGATGATGATCCACAAAGTGGTCCTGGGAGACGCCGGCGCATACAGGTGCGAGGTGACGTCCAAAGACAAATGTGACAGCTCCAGCTTTGGGATCTCCGTGGAGGGTGAGCAAAAGCCGGGCATTCCACGTGTGCTGAGGTTTTGCTTCGATCCGGCCCTAATCGGCCATCTCGGCAACTTCTCTCATTTCAGCCTGCCAGCAAGACGAGCCTGTGGACATTTTGTCTGCCTTCAAGAGAACGCAAGTGCATTTCATACGCGTTTCTCTCTCGCAAAGGCTGATAAGTGACGGCCTAGAACTCCAAGCAATGTGTCAAGGGCATGTGCTTGAGCTTTGTGTCTTTGCCGGAGTTTAGAGCGAGTCATGTTTGTTCAAGTCAGAAGGCTCAGATCTTAACCTTCAAGTCTGGAGCAAGCCCCAAGTTAGCAACAGCCCAGTCTCATGAATACAAAGTTCAAGTCAAGTCGAGTTTTAGCCGAGTGCGAAAATAGGCGCCTCAATCGAGTCTCCTGCTGACTGAGCGCGCGTTTTCCTTTCACACAGCGATGCCGGCGAGGATGAGGGTGACCTGGATTTCAGCGCTCTTCTCAAAGCTGCCAAGAAGTGAGAACATCTTTGCTTGCACGAGCAAGCATACCCTCACACTCTGTATAATTGTTTCATTCAAATGCCTTTTTGGGGGGTTCTTCCCCCCCGACTGACAGGAGACCGGAGAAGGTGGAGGAGGAGGTGGACGTATGGGAATTGCTGAAGAACGCCCACCCGAGCGAATATGAGAAAATCGCTTTCAAGTACGGCATTACCGACCTGAGGGGCATGCTGAGGCGTCTGAAAAAGATGAAGGTGGAGCCCAAGCACAGCGAGGGTGAGTCAGGTGGAGGCTGAAAAGGCAATAGAAGAGCGTCTGAAGTAAGCGCAATCAGACCAAGGACAGCCAGAGGAGAAGCAAGACAATTGAATTCCCCCCCCCCCCATTCCTGTGCGCCTTCGCAGCTTTCCTGACAAAGCTGGAATCGTGCTACACGGTGGATAAAGGCAAGAGAATCGTTCTCAAGTGTGAGGTGATGGATCCCAACGCCCAGGTCAAATGGTTGAAGAATGGCCAAGAGATCAAACCCTCTGCCAAGTAAAGAGCTTTTTTTTTCTTTTTTTTTTAGACTGCGCCTGGTAAACCTCCAGCGGGAAATATACTCAAAGAGACGGATGGCAAAATTAGGTTGTAAATTAGCCACTGAGCTCGGATGATAGGTGGAGAGTGAAAAATGCGCAGCTAAAATTATCGACACCGCAAAGTCAAACTTTGGACCGTTGCTGCCATCCACACATTTTATTTTTAGGCCGCCGTAAGAAGCCTCCGAGAGGGCTCAATAAGTCAAACTGCCAACACATAATGTAGGTTAATGCTGATAAAATAAGGCCCGTAATTCAACCTTGAGCCTTGAATGTGTGAAAAAACGCAAGCAACAAGAAATGTTCGAGTCACCGCCGTGGACGGTGGCGATCAGTGGCTCCCAATAAAATTCTACAGTTTGATTTATGGCCGTAAATTAAGCGCGTATGACAACTGTTTTCTAATAGTAGAGTGTTATTCATACCGTGCGGTCCCATGCTAGCGCTATCGCGCAATGCAAGCGGTGGCCAGGTGTGTTTTTTCCAGATGAGAGGAATAACTTGTCAAACCAACAAGTTTATGGCTTTCAACCTGCCACAAAACACGACACTTTCACCACAATTCATTTTAGTAGACAGCCAACAATTATTTTGGATTAGGATGTTCGTTATCTTACAACTAGAACCGCGTTCCGTGAAGAGATTTCTGTGTTTCAAACGTAGAAAGTGGTGGGACAAATAAACACTCAAATCAAAAAGGGACACTTGAAAAATCAGCTAAAGTAGAGCGACGTTTTTTTTTTTTTTTTTTACTTTGTTGCTTGCTAGCGTTGCGTATAACACACTGACGACTTCTCGCGTGCTATTTTCAAGATATTTGATGGAGACAAATGGGAACATCAGAACGCTCACCATCAACAAGACCACCCTGGCTGACGACGCCGCGTACGAGTGTGTGGTCGGCGAAGACAAGTGTTTCACTGAGGTATTTGTTAAAGGTACGTCAGACGACGCCCCGGGAAAACGGCAATCCACGCTCGGATTGTAAAGCTCCTCCCCACTGTCTCGTCCACCTCCAGAGCCTCCCGTGACCATCACCAAGCTTATGGATGACTACCACGTGGTGGTAGGGGAGAGAGTGGAGTTTGAGGTCGAGGTGTCCGAGGAGGGCGGCCATGTAATGTGGTCAGTATGACTCCCGTCTCAGTCAAGTTTGATACGGGTTGCAATGTCGAATGGAATTGAAGCAATTTGATCGGGCAAAACCGTGTGATGACGTGTAAAATACCGTAAGCCACTCATATTAATGCTTTGACAAATAGCTCCTAAATATGTGTGACATTATTCATAAATATTGACCCCAAAGCGACTGATTGAAATAATACCATTACATCTGCGCGTTATGTCCTTCCAGGTTCTACGAGGAAAATATTGACCCCAAAAGCGACTGATTGAAATAATACCATTCCATCTGCGCGTTATGTCCTTCCAGGTTCTACGAGGATCAGGAAATTGTAAAAGACACCGCCTCCACAAAATATCGCTTCAAGAAAGAAGGGAAGAAGCACACGCTCATTATCCAGGAAGCGACACTCGACGACATCGGAATGTACCACGCTTGGACAAATGGGGGCCATACCAAGGGAGAGCTGGAGGTGGAAGGTACTGCCGGGAACATTCTCACTTGATTTCTTAAAAAAAGGGACTCACACGTGGAGGATCGACCTTTTCCACTGCGTCCAGAAAAACAACTGCAGGTGTTGCAGGACATTGCTGATCTGACAGTGAAGGCAAGCGAGCAGGCTTTGTTCAAGTGTGAGGTGTCTGATGACAAGGTCACCGGCAAGTGGTACAAGGACGGAGTGGAAGTGATGCCCAGCGAACGCATCAAAATGACGCACGAAGGAAGGTAGAGAGGAGAGAAATGCAGGGG